AGCAAAAATTAAACCCTTGCATATGTGGTCAAATGATTTTTGACAATGGTGCCAATCAATTTATAGAACATTGGCATCATACTAAAAATTTCTCTCATGGCCTTTGTGGTCAGTCAACCCTTTCTTATGCTGCAGGCATCTGATTTCTATCACAATATCATCTTTTTGCTAGTTCTAGAACTTGGTAAATGAAATAACATAGTATATACTATTAACTGTCTGTCTTCTTATGTGTACTTAGTTGATAAGTGTAACAGTGGTTTATCATTTTTATTGATGAGAAGTACTTAATTGCATGGATATACCATAATATGATAATCTTTTCACCAACTAATATTTGGCTTCTAGATTTTATTATTATGAATATTTTTTCTATTAACATTTGTGTATTAGTCCCTTGGGAACATATATTTTAATTTCACTGTTTATATACCTAAGAGTAAAACTGCTGAATTATATGATAACTATACCTTTACCTGAATATGAAATTTACAAATGGTTGTAAAAATTTACATTCTTACATACAAGTATGGGGAGTCCAATTGCTCCATGTCCTTAGCAAAATTTGCTATTCTCATTCTCTTTTATTATTTATTATTCTGGAAGTATAAATTAGTCTCCCAGTGTGGTTTTTATTTGCATTTTCCAATGCCTAATGATCATTGTCTAATGATATTGCACATACCTTCACGTGTCTATTAGTCATTTGTATATATTCTTTGTGAAATGAATGTGGGTTGTTTTTCTTATTATGTATTGAATTTTTGCTTTATTATTATTATTGATTTAGAAGAGATTCTGAATACATATCTTTTGCCAGATATATGTATTACACATATTTTCTCTCAGCTATGGTTTGAATTTTTCATTTTTTTAAAGGTATCATTTAGAACATAAAAGTTTTCGATTAAGACGAAGCCTAATAATTCAAGTTTTTATAATTAATAAGTATTGCATCTTTATAAAATCTTTACTTAAGGAAAGGTATTTTGTTAGCATTTTATTTTGCTATTAGTTTCAAGTATGCTGTACACTGGTTAGACATTACATAGTTTATGAAATGATCCTCCTGATTGTCTTCCCTCTGGCTCTACACATAGCCATTACATTACTGCTGACTGCACTCCCTATGCCATGTTCCTCATCCCTGTGGCCACCTATCAGCTATCAATTTGTATTTCTTTAACCCTTCACCTCTGTCTCCCAGCCCCCCGACCTCCCTCCACTCTGGCCGTCACCAGATTGTACTCTATATTTGTGAGGCTGTTTTTGATTAGTTTGTTCTTTTTGTTCCTTAGATTTTGCATATAAGTGAATCATATGGTATTTATCTTTCTCTGTCTAACTTATTTTGGTCTGCATAATAACCTCTAGGTCCATCCATATTATTGCAAATGATGAGAGGATTTCCTTCTTCTAATGGCTGAGTAATATTCCATGAACCATAATTTCTTTATCCAATCTTCTGTTGATGGGCATTTCGGTTGCTTCCATATCTTGGCTATTGCAGCCATGAACATAGGGATGCATAGATCTTTATGAATTATTGTTTTGATTTTCTTTAGATAAATACCCAGAAGTGCAATTACTAGGTCAAAAGGTAGATCCATTTTTAATTTTTTGAGAAACCCCCGGACTGTTTTCCATAGTGGCTGTACCAATTTGCAATCCCACCAATAGTGTATGAAGGTTCCCTTTTCTCGACATCCTCGCCAGCACTTGCTATTCTTTGATTTATTGATGATAGCCATTCAGACAGGTGTGAGATGACATCTCATTGTGATTTTAATTTACATTTCTTTGATTATTAGTGACCTTGAGCATCTTTTCATTTGTCTATTGGCCATCTGTATTTCCTCTTTGGAGAAATATCTATTCAGGCCTTCTGACCATTTTTTAATTGGATTATTCGTTATTGATTGTTGAGTTGTATGAGTTCTTTACATTTTTGGATATTAACCCCTTATCAGATGTGTCATAAGTGAATAATTTCTCTCATTCAGTAGGTTTTCTTTTTGTTTTGCTGATGGTACCCTTTGCTATGTAAAAACTTTTTAGTTTGATGTAGTCCCATTTGTTAATTTTTTTCTTTTGTTTCCCTTGCCCAAGAAGATATGTCTGGAAAGAAATTACTAGTAGCAATTTCAGAGAGCTTACTGCCTATGTTTTATTCTAGAAGTTTTATGATTTTGGGTCTTACATTTAAGTCTTTAACCCATTTTGAGTCTATTCTTGTATACGGTATAAGAAGGTAGTCCAGTTTCTTTCTTCTTTTTTTGTTTTTGCATGTATCTGTCCATTTTGCCAACACCATTTATTGAAGAGACTATCTTTAACTCATTGTGTATTCTTGCCTCCTTTGTCATATATTAAATGAGAGTATAGACGTGGATTTATTTCTAGGCTCTCTATTCCATTCCATTGATTAATGTATCTGTTTTTATGCCAGTATCATGTTGTTTTGACTACTATCACCTTATAGTATAGTTTGATATCAGGTAATGTGATATTTTCCACTTTGTTATTTCTCAAGATTGGTGTGGCTATTTGGGACCTTTTATGGTTGCATGTACATTTTAGGATTATTTGTTCTAATTCTATGAAAAACACCGTCGGTATTTTGATAGGGATTGCATTGAATGTATAGATTGCTTTGGGTAGCGTGGCCATTTTAATGATGTTGATTCTTCCTACCCATGAACACGATATATGCTTCCATTTATTTGTATCTTCAATTTCTTTTTTCAATGGCTTATAATTTTCTGAAAACAGGTCTTCCACCTTCTTAGTTAATTTGATTCATAAGTATTTTATCAGTTTTAATGCAATTGTAAACGGGCTTTTTTCTTAATTTCTTTCTGAAAGTTCATCATTGGTGTACAAAAATGCAACTGATTTCTGAATATTAACATTGTATCCTGTTACGTTACTGATTTCATTGATCATTTCTAAGTTTTTTTGTGGAATCTTTAGTGTTTTCTATATATAGTATCATGTCATCTGCAAATAATGACAGTTTTATTTCTTCCTTTCCAATTTGGATATCTTTTATTTCTCTTTCTTGTCTGATTTCTGTAGCTTGGACTTCCATTATAATATCTAACAGAAGTGGTGAAACTGGGCATCCTTGTCTTGTTCCTGATCTTAAGGAAAAGGCTTTTAGCTTTTCCCCTTTGAATATGATGTTAGCTATAGGTTTGTCATATATGGCCTTTGTTATGTTGAGTTATGTTCCCTCTACTCTCACTTTGCTAAGAATTTTTATTATATGCTGGATTTTGTCGAAGGCCTTTTCTGCATCTATTGATATGATCATATGATTTTTATCTTTCAATTTGTTAATGTGGTGTGTCATATTAATTGATTTTAGGATATTATACAAACCTTGCGTCACAGGAATAAATCCAACTTGATCATGGTGTATGATATTTTTAATGTATTGCCGAATTCGGTTTGCTAATATTTTGTTGAGGATTTTTGCATCAATATTCATAAGGGATATTCGCCCATAGTTTTCTTTTTTTGTCATGTCTTTGGTTTTGGAATCAAGGTAATGGTGGCCTCATAAAAGGAGTTAGAGAGCCTTCCCTCTTCTTGATTTTTTTTTGGAATAGTTTGAGAAATATAGATATTAATTATTTGAATGTTTGGTAATATTTGCCTATGAAGCCATCTAGTCCAGGACTTTTTTGGGGTGGGAGTGGGGGGAGGAGTTTCTTTGATTAATGATTCGATTTCATTGGTGATAATCATCAATTAAAACTTTCTGTTTCTTCCTGACTCAGTCTTGGGAGACTGTATGTTTCTAGGAATGTATCCATTTCTTCCAGATTGTCCAATTTATTGGCATCTAATTGCTCTTAATATTTTCTTATGATCCTTTGTATTTCTGTGGAGTCTGTAGTTAGTTTTCTTTCATTTCTGATTTTATTTATTTAAGTCCTCTCTCTTTTTTTCCTTGACGAGTCAGGTTAAGGGTTTATCAATTTTGTTTATTCTTTCAAAGAACCAGCTTTTGGTTTCATTAATCTTTTGCATTATTTTTCTAGACATTATTCTATTTATTTCTACTCATTTTGGGTTTCATTTCTATTCTTTTTCTAGTTCTTTAAAGTATACGGTTAGATTATTTATTTGAAGTGTTTCTTGTATCTTGAGGTAGACCTTTATTGCTGTGAATTTCCCTCTTAGGACTGCTTTTGCTGTGTCCCATAGATTCTGAGTCATTGTGTTCTCCTTTTCATTTGTCTCTAGGTAACTTTTGATTTCTTCCTTGATTTCACTGTAACCCATGTTCAGTGGCATGTTATGTAGCCTCCATGTGTTTGTGTATTTTCCAGTATTTTTCTTGTAGTCGACTTCTAGTTTCATACCATTGTAATTAGAGAAGACGGTTGATATAATTTAAATAGTTTAAAATTTATTGATACTTGTTTTGTGGTATAACTTGTGGTCTATCCTGAAAATGGTCCAAGTGTATTTGAGAAGAATGTATATGTTACTGCTTTGGGGAGAAATGTTCTGAAAATATCTATTAAATCCATCTAGTCTAGTATGTCATTTAATCCCGCTGTTTCCTTGTTGATTTTCTTTCTGGAAGATCTGTCCATTTGTGACAATGGAGTATTAAAGTCCCCTACTATGAGTGTATTTTTGTTGATCTCTCCTTTATCTCAGTCAATAATTGCCTTATATATGTAAGTACTCCTATGCTGGATGTGTATATGTTTACAAGGGTCATATCTTCTTGATGTATTGATCCTTTCATTATTATATAATGCCCTTCTTTATCTCTTATTATAGCCTTTGTTTTAAAATCTATTTTGTCTGATATAAATATTCCTATCCCATTTTTTTCATTTTCATTTGTGGGAAATATCTTCTTCCATCCCTTTACTTTGTGTCATTTGAAGTGGGTCTCTTGTAAATAGCATATGCTTGGGTGGGTCTTGTTTTCTTATCCATGTCTTTTGATTGGAGCATTTAATCCATTTACATTTAAAAATATGGAATGCTTCACAAATTTACATGTCATCTTTGCTCAAAGGTCATACTAATCTTCTCTGTATTGTTCCAATTTTAGTATATGTGCTGCAGAAGCAAGCATACGAAGGGTCTTTTTTTTTTTTTAGTTAAGATTTCAAATGGTGTAAATTAAAGGTTTATGTTTTTTTAAACAAAGTTTATATAGTTTGTTCAATACCATTTGATGAAAACTTACTATTTCCTCTTTGAAATGTCTTGGGAATCATACACATCTGAATCTGTTTCTAGACTCTTTATTTGATTTAAATATCACTATGTTTATCATTAAGCTAATCCAAGAAAATTTTGACTATTGTAGCTTTGTGGTGATTTTTGAATTTCATGGCATAATCCCTCTAAAGCGAGCCATTTTAAAATTTTTATTCTAAAAGTTGTTTGGCTCTTCTCAGTCTTTTTTATTTAAAAAAAATTTTAAAATCATTTTGTCAATTCCTATGTAGTAACTAGCGGGAATTTTGAGATTGTGTTAAATATGTAGATAAATTTAGAAATAATGAAAATAATAAAAAAGATTGTATTTCCAGTCCATGAACATGTTGTATTTTTCATTTATTTAAGTCTTTAAAAAAATTTTTTTAGTAATGTTGTACACTTACCTGTAGAGAGGCATTGCATGTCTTTTGTTAAATGTATTACTATTTTCAGATTTTAATGTAATTATAAAGAGTATTTCTTTAAATTTTTATTTTTCAATATTTTGCTGCTAGAAATATAATTAATTTGCCTTATGCTGGTCTGGTATTTTGCAACTTTGCTGTTACAAATCTCTTTTAGTTGTTTGGAAATTACTTTGTATTTTTTACGAAGGTAATTATTTCATGTGTGAGTGGAGAGTTTTATTTCTTCTTCACATAAATGAGACTTTTTTTCTCTTTATTGTATTGGATAAGAGTTGCAAGGGAATGTTTAACAGAAGTGGTGGTATTGGTAAGCCTGTGCTCAATACATTAAAATTTTCCAATTTTCACTAAAAATATGTTAGGTGTAGGTATTTTGTAAGTGCCCTTTACCAAATCAATAAAGTTCCTTTTTTTCCTAGTTTGCTGAGAGTTTTTAATATAGATAATTGTTGAATTTTGTCAAATGTTTCTATAAATCTTTAGATGATTATGTAATATTTTTATTTGTAGTGACATAAAATTGGGAAACAAACACCAGTAAAGTTTTTTGAGATGTAATTTATATATAGTAAAATTCAATTTTTTAAGCTATTCATTTATATCAATGGGTAGTTTTGCATGTTTTTTTTGTTTCGTTTTTTAATTATCTATATCAAAAGTGTTTCCTGAGTATGTGTACAATAGGGATTTCCCCTCCTAATCTGACAATTGCTATCCTTAATGTATTTATTGAATTTAATGTAATTTAATAATAACTTAATGTAATTATTTTATGGTTGCAGTTAAATCTATCATCTTGTTAATTTTTTTCTATTTATTTATTTTTTTCTCTTTTTTGTTCCTTATGCATTATTTAGGATAGTTTTTTTTTTTTAACCTCTTTCATTTATCCTCATTATTGGATTATCATTTATAGTTTATTTCAGTGTTTACTCTGGCATTTATAGTCTATTTCTTTAACTTGTCACATTCTATCTTCAAATGATAGGCATTTTACTTATAGTATAAAATACTTAAGAACAAATTCTTTTATTTGCTCTTTTCTATCTTTGTGTTATTATTCTCCTAGTTTTTACTTCTATATATGTTATAAACTCAACAATAAATTGTCACTATGTGTGGAGAGTATTAATATTATCTTACAGTTTAAATAGATATATTTAGGGTATAATTGACCAACAATAAGCTACATATATGTATATATATTGTATAATTTAATAAATTTTAACATCTAGAAGCAAAGAAAATTTCTTTTATCTTCACATTCAGTGTTATAAATTCTGTTGATCTTCTTTTTTCTATATAGATCCAGAATTCCATCTAGTGCCCTATTCTTTCTTTCTGAAAAATTCTCTTTAATATTTGTTTTTTAGTGCATGTATGTTGGCAATGAATTATCTCACCTTTTAGGAAAAAAAGTCTTATAGTAATCAATTTGTAATAGATAGTATCACGGGAGATATAATTTTGTCAACTTTTTTTGACTTTTACAGATGTCACTTTATTGTCTTCTGGCTTGTACTACCTTTTTTCTTTTTTTTTTTTTCCCTCTCTTTTTTTGGTTTGTACTGCTTTTAACAACTAATCTGGTAGAACTATCATGTGAACTTTGTCAGAAAGGGTGATTTTTGAACAAAGACTTGGATTAAGACCAATGTAAAGGTTTGACTCGAATCAAGGATGTCAAAGAAAGCTTTGCTTTTCCAGAAAAATTAGGACATTTGTAAATTTTTAAAAGAATATTGATAGAAATATCAGGAAGCTCAAGACAAAAAATGTTACAACTTTTGGTCAACTTAAATGGTCTCTGTGACTTCACCACTTGCATCTCTGAGCATTACCCTTTTATTCTCTTATATCTAGCATGTAAAAACTACCTCTAAATTGTCCAAAAGCAACTTCATATTAAGATTAAAGATGACAAAAGTATATCTTAGTTTAAATTTGCTGAGGTATTGTATGATCTTTTAGAAGAACATTCTAAATCAATTGAGACTCTGATGATTGTATTGATATGTAATTTTTAAAAAATATTGACAAAAAGCCAATATCGAGTTCATGCAGAATAAGCTACAACATGGTTCTTATTCAGAGTAGAAACTGGAGAAAAGTTAATACAAGTGGCAGTCATGGTATACACTGAAGATAAACAATTATGCATACATAATCAGGATATGAAGTAATATTTATTATTATGATGAAACACAAGAAAATTGACATTGGTTATTGAGTAATAACATATATCTACATTCTTAAAATATATAAATATTCTTCTTAGCAAAATTTGGGTACCTCACTGAGACCCATTGATAATGAGACCTCATCCTAAAGTTGTATATGCATCCAAAATTGTTTATTATAACACTTTATTATAATACTTAATAAATAATTTAACAAATAATATAAACAAATATAAATAGAACACTTTGTTTTCTAACTCTGAATTTGTAAATTTAATTTTTTTTATTGTTTTACATACATTATTTTAAGCAATCTGCAATTCATATAGAACGTGTTTGTGTTACCAGTTAAATAAATAGGTGAATATTTTCCAAACATTTTATATGTTTGTCCCTCTGCTTATATTAGTTTATTTAAAACTTTTTACACACAGTTAAAATTATACATAAAGACACATATAATCATATATAGTAGTAACAATTCCAAAATCAACCAAAGTTACATTTAACAAATATTTTTCTATGCAACACATGTAGTGTTAAAAGTTAGTCTGTAGAAAGAAATTTTCTCATCGAATAGATTTGGGATATCTTAGATTAAATAACATAGAAAATATTTTTATGCTCATTTTTATAGGTACCAGATAATTTAGCATTTCTCCCATTTAATTTATAATGGAATTTTTTACAGAACTTCAGGAATAGTTCAGAAATATGAACTAAATTCTGTAGAATTTACTTTGGAAAACATAAATTATTACTGGTAAAAACTTATTTGCTAAATTTAAGGTACTATATAATAATAAATGCTTTGAATAGTATAACATTTAATACATTAACTGTTTTAATGTATTTCTACCATTTTCTAATGCTACTCTATCTTCCTCATTCTTCACGATGACCTAGAAAGTTGATGGTATCAATATCACTCTTAAGTTTTTGCTAAGTATCACTGAATGTTGCTCATTATAAACCCTTATCACTTTTTAATATCTTCAGTAAAATACCAATACCACAGGAATGTTTCTCAGAATTGGATCTAATCGTTGGTGGCAACAAAATGCTGAGTATAGTCCAATATGGCTATTGGCCTTTTATGTAAGTCAGCCACACTAGGTCTGAGAGAGGTTGTCTAGGCTGAGTGGATATCATTTGATTTCTGCTACCAAGATTCTGGAGCCCAGAGGGCAAACTGAATATTCTTTTCAGAAAGCTAATTTAATTTGTCTGATTACTCTAATTAGTTTCTCACCCACTGTGATAAAATAGATTCCAAAGGAGACTAAATTATCCAAAATCACTTAACTACAAAGAAGTCTATCCTGGAAAGCACCTGGAAAGAGCTCTGACCTCTTACTCTATTCCATTCTAAAGTCTTGAAAGAATACTGTTCTTTGCCTTTTCAAGAATTCTTCATTTTTATCTAGACATTCTCAAAAGCACATAGAGGTATGCTCCCATAGAATAGGGTTTCTCAAACTGTTTTGATCCCTTTACTCCGTTGATGAGGGAGGAATTCCCACACTAAGGTTGTGGAACAGCCAAACATGCGATGCCCAACACTGGACGGAAGAGATCAGCAGCAATTTATTAGTCACAGATACAGCACAGAGGACAGGTTATATCTAGGAACAGAGTGAACAGCCAGAGACTATAGGAGGCCCGCGTGTCCTCTGGTTTCTCCAGGAAGATTTATTGGCTTGTTTGAATAATTCAGCAGGCTGGCAGGAAATTGAAACCTGTTTCTCTGAGATAACCAGGAATTGTAACTTGTCCATTTGATAAGGTTAGGAGATGTAATTTACAGGATCAAATTGGGAGAGTAACTTGTGGTTAGCCACTTGAAACCCTCCTGGTTTTAGCAGTTATTAAAGAAGCACATAATATTAACATTAGGCTTTACACTATACAACCTCAGCACTATTGACATTTGGGAGCTTCTCTGTGCATTGTAAGATGTTTTGTTGCAACCCTGGCCTCTATTCACTGATCCCAGAAACCACCTCCCCCATTGACTCTCTCCAAATAGTGAAAATCAAAAATATCTGCAGACATTGCAAATGTTTGCTAAGGGGCAGAAGCAAGCACTATTCAGAACCATTGCCATAGAGAAACAGGACTGCATGCCCTGTCCCACAGTTTTGGACAGTCTCTCCTCTGGGGACCTGTGATTCCCTGGAAAATTATTTTGTAATGAGTTTTAGTTACTATGGGAACATGAAATATTCATTAAGACTACTGGAGAAAATTAATGTAG